CTCGGGCTGTGCAGAACCAGCCTAATGCTGGAGGAAATGATGAGTTTCGTCATTTAGGGAAGTTTTAGAGGATTAATCTGCCTACTTTTAAGGGTAGGTATGATCCTGATGGAGCACAGGCTTGGCTCAAGGAGATTCAGAGGATCTTCTGTGTGATGGATTGCTCCAAAGAGCAGAACGTATGGTTTGGTACTCACATGCTAACTGAGGAGGCTGATGATTGGTGGATAAACACTCGTCAAGTGTTAGAAGCAAGGAAGTATGTTTGTTACTGAATATGATGCCAAGTTCGTGGAACTTGTGAAGTTCTATCCTTATTACAGTGAGGCAAATGCTGAGTTCTCAAAGTGTGTTAAGTTTGAGAATGGTTTGCATCCTGAAATCAAGCAAGCGATTGGGTATCAACAGATATAAAGGTTTCTGGAGTTGGTAAACAGCTGTAGGATTTATGAGGATGACAATAAGGGTCGGGAAGCTCACTATAAGAGTCTAGACGAGAAGAGAGGGAAGCAGAATCTGAACCGTGGGAAGCCTTAATGTGCTCCAGTTGAGAAGGGTAAACAAATAGTTGCTGATGGTAAGAGGCCAGGTGGGGGAGGTGCTTCTGCTCCTTTTAAATGCTTTAGATATGGTGAACTGGGTCATCGTGTCAGTAGATGCAAGAGTGATATGAAGAAGTGTTTCCGAAGTGGAAAGATAGGAAATTTGGTTGCTGATTGCAAAGATAATATGGTGACTTACTACAATTGTGGTGAACCTTGACATACCAGTACACATTGTTAGAAGCCGAAGTAAGCTTCAACCGGAGGAAATGTGTTTGCTCTATCAAGGACTCATACTTTCAGTAACGACAAGTTGATTAAAGGTATATGTTATATTAATAATACACCTTCGATTGCTATTATTGATACTGGTGCTACACACTCTTTTATTATTGTTGATTGTGTGAAAAGGCTAGGCCTTGTAGTGTCTTCCATGAAAGGAGAGATGGTTGTCAATACTCCTGATAAGGTATCAATGATTAATTCTCTGGTTTGTTTGAACTGTCCTCTGTCGATCTTTGATTGAGATTTTGGTGTTGATCTTATCTGCTTACCGCTGAGAGATCTTGATGTTATCTTGGGAATGAACTGGTTCAACTTTAATCATGTTCATATTAATTGTTATAACCATTCAGTGCGATTTCTTGCTCCTGATGATGAGGAAGAAGCTGGTTTATTATCTGTTAGACAGTTGGAAGAGCTTTTACAAGATGAAGCTCATGTGCTTGCATTGTTTGCATTGTTATCTATTGAAAGTCAAGCTGCAGCTGATGATTGCTAGTGGTGTGTGATTTTTCATATGTACCACCAGAGAGAGAGGTGGAGTTTTCTATTGATCTTGTCTCTGGTACCAGACCTGTTTCTATGGTACCATACAAGATGTCGACATCAGAGTTAGAAGAATTGAAGAAGAAACTGGAAGATTTGCTGGAGAAGAAATTTGTGAGACCAAGTGTGTCACCTCGGGGAGCTCTGGCGTTGCTAGTGAATAAGAAAGATGGTAGTATGAGGTTGTGTATGGATTACCGATAGTTGAATAAAGTAGCGATCAAGAACAAGTATCCACTTCTGAGAATAGATGATTTAATGGACTAACTGGTAGCGCACATGTTTTCAGCAAGATTGACTTGAGGTCAGGTTACTATCAGATTCGGGTGAAGGATGTGGATGTTTAAAAGATGGCTAAGGATCAAGGTAACATATTGAAGTGCTCCTACCATGGACATGTATAGCTAAGCATCAAAAAATGGATTCATGCCATGTTTACTCAACTTGCAACAGCTTAACATTGGAGTGGGAACCCCATTGGCATGATCCATCTTGGCTCTTGTAAGAAGGTCTTTGACATATTTAGATTGATTTAGGAACATAGAACCATTAGGACATAATTTCACTTTAATACCAAGAAAATAACTAGGTCACCCCAATTTCTTTAGAGCAAAGTTATGATGTAACTTGTTGATTAACTTGTGTATAAGATCTGTACTTGAGCCACTGATGAGTATATCATCCACATAAACTAAGGCATATAAAGTAATACCAAGCTTGGAGTAAACAAAGAGAGAGTTGTCACATTTAGAAGTAATAAAACCAAATTGTAGCAGAGCTTTAGTTAGTTTCTCATACCAAACCCTTGGGGCTTGTTTGAGACCATATATGGATTTGTGAAGCTTGCACACAAGATTTTTTTATCAGAACTCATAAAACCAGTTGGTTGGGTCATATAGAATTCACCATGAAGAATTCCATTTAGGAATGCATTATTGACATCTATTTGTGGGATGTCCCACTTGTGTGTGATAGCAAGGGTTAGAATCACCATAAAAGTGGTAGGTTTTACCACTGGAGAGAATGTTTTGATGTAGTCAAAACCTTATTCTTGGTGGAAACCTTTTGCCATAAGCCTGACTTTGTATTTGTGAATTATACCATCATCATTTTCTTTAATCTTAAACACCCATCTACATCTTACTGCCTTTATGTCAAGGGGTATAGTGGTAAGTGTCTAGGTTTTATTAGCCTGGAGAGCATTGAACTCATCACTCATGGCCTTAACCCACTCAAGCATGGTCAGAGCTTTTTTAACACTAGTTAGTTCATACTCAGAATGGACAAGAAACACTTTAGGTTTTGACTTGCCAGTTTTGGCTCTAGTTAACACGGGATGAATATTTTCAAGTGGTGGAACAAAAGGTATACTAGTGCCAATTGAAGGAGGTTGAGAAGACTTAGAGACGGGAATGCAAGAAGACAATGTGAGTTTATTGGAGTAGAAAGTGTTGTCAGGTTGTTGAGCTAAGGGAAGAGCTCTATGAGAGCTTGGATAAGGCAGTGTGGAATGAGTTTCATTAGCAGCATTAATGGTATTTGTAGAAGCAATTTCTTAGGAGTTACCCTCAGGATAACTAGAGACCTTATCAATTGTTCTCTCTGTGGGGGAGCCTACATTAGGACTATCAGAACTTGACATATGGCTAGTGGATGGGATGGCTAGACTGTGTTCTGTAGCAGGTTGTGGTAACTTTTGGGTATTGCCAGACTGTTGTGTAGCAGGATTATCTGACCTGTGACTTTGGACAGGCTGGATAGGACTATTCTGAGGGATATTAGACTGATGCATATTTTCAAGATTTTTTCCTTGGTCATAAAGTTCAATAGTGGGACCTATGTTACTTGAGTGAGACTGGTCTAATGGGTCAGAAAGCTGATTCTCAATAGATGCTGCCACTAGACTGGGAGTAGGACCAGTAGTAGGACCAATGTTGTTAACATGGCCAATAGAGCTAGATGTAGGACAAGACATAGAGCTAGGTGTGGAGTTTCTGTAGCAGAACTCTTGGAGCTGGTGGGAAACAGATGAGGAAAAGGAAAGCTATGTTCATTAAAGGTGACATCCTTGGAGATGTACATTTTCCCATCTTTGTTCACACACCTAAAACCTTTATGTTAGGGAGGGACTAAGATACACATACTCTTGACTTCTTAGTTGGAACTTGTGTTTGTTGTAGGGCCTAATGAGAGGAAAACATGAGCAGCCAAACACTTTCATTGTAGAGTAATATGGGTCTTTACCATACAAAGCATGAAAGGGTGAATTAAAATTTTGTAAAGTAGATGTGGGAATCCTATTGATTATGTAAACAGAAGTAGAGAAACTATAGTCCCAGTAAGCAATAGGTAAAAAGGCATGAGCTAGTAATGTAAGTCCCATTTCAACAATTTACATACGTTTTCTCTCTATTGTCTCATTTTGATGAGAATTATATGGGCAAGTTAGCCTATGTGTGATCTTTAACTCTTCCAAATACTTAGTGAAAGTTCTAAACTCTCTTCCAAAATCAGACTGGACAAACTTGATGGCCACATTGAATTGTGTTTAAACAAATTTTGAAAACAGCTTGAAAGCATATAGAGCATTAGGCTTTTGCTTGAGCATGTACAGCCAGGTGTACCTAGTATGCCCCATCTACAAAAACTATGTAATACCTATAACCAGAACTAGAAGGATTTGGGGAAGGACCCCATAAATCAGTATATATCATGTCAAAAGGTTTGTGATAGATTGTGGCAGTGAGAGGAGAATATAGTTTATGTGCCTTGCCAAGATTACAAGAAGTACAAAATGACTGATTGTTTTTATTAATAGAAGGAATATCACACAGTTTGAGTATAGAAGCTACAGAACTACAACTACAATTGGCATGGCCAAGCCTATGATGCCATAATGTGCTATTATTACAAGTATCTATACTATGGGAATTAGAATTAGAAACAACATAGCTTTGAGCACTAGTGAAAGGAATAGATTTGTTAATGTGGTTAAGAGGCCTTTTGAGATTGATAGGCAGTTGAGGAAAGCAATATAAGCCACTGGCATATAGGATTCCTTCAACAATGACTTGTTTAGAAGCATGTGATTTAATATAGCATTTATCAGGTAGGAACTCAAAAGTAACATTATTATCACTAAAGAACTTTGAAACAAACAATAAGTTTCTAACCTTTGATAAAATACACACTTTCAACAACACTTTTGCTAAATGTTGCAATGTTTTGCCTACAACAACAGTTTTCAAACGTTGCATTGTTTCGCCTACAACAACAGTTTTCAAATTTATACTACTTAGCATTCTGCAACACTTTATAAAATATTGTCTATTTTCAAATTCAAAAATTTACCTTCATTTATATATTTTCTTATCATTTTAAAACCCACTTAAAATTGTTATTTATTAATAATTTCCTATAAAAAACATCATAAAAATCCTCCCAATATTTATCTAGACAGGTTGATGAGAGGAGATCAAGAGTCAAGGCAAATAATAATATAAAAGACAGATTAAATCGGTAACTAAAATCCAAAACAAAATACAAACAAGCATCATTCACCTTTCTTCAAATCTATAAATTGGTACACCAACCTTTACTATGAAACACACAAATTTAACCACAGATAAAATGGAGAGGACACAGACAAGTTTAAGCTTATTGGTGCTGTGTTTCCTGATCATGGGAACAATGTTAGTGAGTGGTCAGAGTGCAAACAACGTAAGAGCAACATACAATAATTACAACCCTCAGAATATAGGTTGGAGCTACAACACCGCCGGTGTTTACTGTGCTACCTGGGATGCTAACCACCCCTTGTCATGGCGTCAAAGATACGGTTGGACTGCCTTTTGTGGACCCGCCGGCCCTCATGGCAGAAATTCTTGCGGCAAATGCTTGAGGGTATGTGTGTCTTTTTAAACTAGTTTTCTTGACTTGTGCATGGACTTAATCAAGATCAATTATCAATCATAATTGTTGGTTACTTGTTAAAGTTGAATTAAAATATTGTGGTGATAGCGTAGGTGAAAAACACTGCGACTGGAGCTCAGACAACGGTGAGAATAGTGGATCAGTGCGACAATGGTGGGTTGGATTTGGATGTGAATGTGTTCAATAAACTGGATACCAATGGACAGGGTTACCATCAGGGTCACCTTACGGTTACCTATGTCTTTGTTAATTGCTAATGCCAATGAATCACTCTTTGTGATGATAAGTTGTTTTACGGCCTAATGATATCATAAATAAATATATAAAACAATAATGTTTCTTATATATATAATGCACATTTCCTTTGTATAAAAAATTATTACTTATAAACTGTTTGAATATAACTCGAATTAAATAAAATATTGTGAATAAAATTTTAAATATTCCAAGACTATGAAAAGTTTAAAGCAAACCAATATTTATAATAGAAATAAGGTCAAAAGAGTTATACATGTACTATCTATTAAGGATGGAGAAACTACCTCAGTTTTCTGGTGGGCCAATATTCAAAATCAATTGAAAATCTCAAGCACTACAAATTTCATTTGGTTTTTCAGCACCTAATGCAATTGTGGAAAACAATAAAATTAATTAACCAATTAGAATATTCTAAAATCCTTCACACACGAGACAAATCATCAATTAACATTTTGAGGAGTGAGAATCCACTAAGTTCAAGAATCCGTGGTGATTTGCGTAGACCATTAAAAACACCTGCATCCACATTTGGTAGAGAAATATTGGATTACGGGTGTTTATAGTTGATAACCTTTATTCCGAATCCCATTTATAGTTTAATTTTATTTTTAATAATTATTTTAATAAAAATTCAATTAACTGTTAAAATACTATTAAAATATTTACAATTCAATTAAAAACTAATTTATAGTTTACAATTTTAAACCACTTAAATATCTTAATCTCTTTTAAAACCAAAATTTTTAACTTCATAAAAATTTAAATTTTTTTATATTAGAAAAGTTATTTTTCATAATATTTATTTTCAATTTTTTTTATATTTTGTATTTTTGAAAAAAATGCTTTCTCGTTTTTCTCGAAAAATTTGATTTTTCCATAATTTTTTTAAAAAAAATTCGTTTTTCACATTTCTCCAAAAAATTGATTTTTTGTATTTTCGATAAAATATTAAATTTTCGTGTTTCAAAAAAATCGATTTTTTGTATTTTTAGAAATATTTTGATTTTTTTTGTACTTCAAAAAACACTCGAATTTTTGTATTTCTGCAAAAACTCGACTTTTTCATATTTTTAAAAAAACTCGACTTTTCATATTTTCGAAAAATTTCGACTTTTTCATATTTTCGAAAAAAAACTCGACTTTTTCATATTTCCGAAAAAACTAGACATTTTCATATTTTCGAAAAAACTCAACTTTTTCATATTTTCAAAAAAACTCGACTTTTTTATATTTCCGAAAAAACTCGACTTTTTCATATTCCAAAAAAAAACTAGACTTTTTTATATTTTTGAAAAAAGTCAACTTTTTCATATTTCCGAAAAACTCGACTTTTTCATATTTCCGAAAAAACTCGATTTTTTTATATTTCTGGAAAAAAAAACTAATTAATTTATATAATTAAACCACTTTATAAAAGAAAATTGGTTATGAACCGATTTTAAATTGAATTTGAATTGTTTTAACTAAATGGTTCAGTTCGTTAACCATTTAAATGATTCAGTTTATTAACCATTTAAATGGTTCAGTTTTTTATAGTGCAATGCAGTTGAATTCAAGTATACAATTCAGTTAACCATATTTTTGAACACCCCTAATTTAGATTTTCAAAGTCATCTCATGAAGAAGTTGTAAGGATTAAGAAGGATCAAGTCACAAAAACCAAGATTACCAAGAGATGAACAAGAATCCTTTTGATGCATCAGAATAGGCTATTCTAAAAGATGAGAAAGAACCATCCCTAGGTGAATCAAAAAGTGAAGAAAGACAATAATCTTAATCTTCTTAATACATAGGGAAGACTTCTATCACGACACATGTAAGTGCAGAGGTGTCAAATGATGTGCTTGAAACTAGCATAGAGAAGGAGCGATAGTTGTTGTGAGTTAGAAGATAGCGTTAACGTTTTTTTTTTCCATTTATTTTACCGTTTTCTTGTTAATTAGTTTTGGAGTAGCCCTAATATATAATAATGGGAACGAGTTAATATCTGAGTTACTATCCTTGAGTTATTATCATTGAGTTAATGTTTGAATTATTTACATTTTATGTTTTTTGGAATATTTAAGTTATTATCATTGAGTTATTGACATTGATACAAATAAATGATCTGTTTGAGATTTTGGAGTTTATTCTGCTGCCTAATAAATGTTTCAATGAGGAAAATGATTGATGAGAATGTGTAATACCTTTTTAAATTAAAGTATTTCTTGTAATTTTGTTTAATTAAAGTGTCGGAAAATTAAGGTGTTACAGCAAAGATCTCGTCTTGGGGATCCATCACATGTAATCGTCTCAATGAGCGGCACATACTCCATCTTGGGGATCCAACCTGGTTAATCACCTTAATGGGAGGCAAAGATCCTATCTTGGGAATCCAATATGGTTAATCACCTCAATGGGCGAAAATTATCCTATTTTAGGAAACCCAACATGGTTAATCGCCTCAACGGGCGACAAAGATCCCATTTTCGGAATCTAGCATGGTTAATCACCTTAATGGGCGACAAGGATCCCATCTTGGGAATCCAACATATTTAATCACATCATCTGGAGGCGAGGATCCTGTCTTGGGAATCCAGCACAGGTGATTTCCTCCATGGGTGGCAAGGATCCCATCTCAGGAATCCAACATATTTAATTGCCTTAATGGGCGGCAAGGATCCCATCTTAGGGATCCAACACATGTAATTGCCTCTAAGGATGTTTTCTTATGAGCCAGAATTTCCTGCAAAAATATAGAATGACCAACACATATAGATAAATAAAAGTGATATGCCTAATTAAAAACCGCCGCTCCATGGAAAACACAGAGCGAAAATAGTGCACCTCGATAAACAACTTATCCTTACAATCGGCAGAGTTTTAGCACTCACCTATGAAAAATTATCAACTTAAACAAATAATAAAATGACTATACAAATGACTAGATGAGACAAAAGGCATTCCCTCACGATCTCAAACTCCATCGTCATGCGAGGTTCAATAAGAAGCTTCCTTGCTCTCGCCCGACTCTTTGGGCGACGTTATTCTGGAGTTGGTTTTCTTTATTTTTACGCTGGGAAAGCGCGCCCTTTTTAACTTGAGGCTTTCTGCATAATGAAGGTGAGAATATTACACAAGAAATGGGGTTAAATTGTGTTTTCCGTTTCTTAACTTTGCCTTTGATCAGAATTCAGAATCAACACTGATGTTCAGATTCTGATTAATATGTTGCTGCGAAATGTTAATAGAAGCAAATAAAAGATAAAGAACACACATATTTATCTTGGTTCCTTCCAATCTAAGAGTAGTCTAGTCTACTTGTGGCACAAGATATTTTTCACTATAATCAAATCATGATTACAATTTCTTATGCACTTAAGCATAAGACTTTTCTTTGCTTAGACCCTCAGCTCGAGATTTCCTTCTTAAACCCCTCGGGTTCAAGACTTCATGCTTAAGCCCCTCAGACTTAATACTTCCTACTTAGACCCTTAAGTCCAAGACTTCCTGCTCAGATTCCACGAAACCAAGACTTCCTGCTTAATTCCTTCAAGCTTAAGACTTCCTTGCTCAAACTGCAGCCTAAGACTTCCTTGCTTAGGTTCCACGAACCCAAAACTTCTGCTATTATCCTCAAGTACAAGACTTCTACTCAGACTCACAGTCAAAGACTTTCTTGCTTAACCAACAAATGATAAAGACTTGCAATGCTCTAGCACATATCAGGAGACTTACTTGGCTCATGCTTCTCAACAAGAGACTTTGATGCTCAAGCACATAGCAAGATACTATATCTAAACAACTAAACAATATGTTTAGCATAATAGAGAACAATGTGTACTTGATACAAAATCAAAGATACAAGGTAATCACCATAGCAAAGACCTTAAGCACTTAAGATTTCTAAGATATTCAATGTTTAAGAAGTCTCAAGGCTTTGTACAATTTACAACAAATAACAAAAATTCTGCATACTCAATTATGTTGCTTATTGTTGATCTTGTTATTCCTCCATCTAGATAGAAGTGTAAACCACTCATATCTTTCTTGGCTTTCCTTCTATATTTCTTATTGTTCCTTGTTCCTTGTTAAAGTTTCATATTGAATCTTCAACTACTTATATAGTAGTTATAGGAGACTACCCGTTGGAAGAGATAACTTGAACAAGTGCATTTGTTTCTCCATAGTACAAGAGACATTGAAGATAGATACACCCAAAGATCTTAATCCACTGTGTAACTTGTTTAACCATTGTGTATTCCATGTAATCTTGTACTATAGATCCATTAAGAGTAGATATCCATAAAGCATGTAAACTCTTCTTGAGCCTTTTGAACATAGACTTTAGTTGACAAGCTGATTTGACAATGCAGCTTGCTTTCTGCAGTACGGATAACTTTAGCTTTATTACTAGCTTTGAATGTTCACTAGAAGCTGATAAATCTACTAAGTATAGAGACAATATGTTTCTCTTCTAATGTTGAGGCCTTCAGCTTCAGAGTCTACGCCAGACATCACTTAGGGTGTGTTCTTCAGATTTTGGACCACCAGGGGCTAGTAACTTAGCTTCTCTCAAGTGCGTCCTTATGTCCGATTCTGAATGTATTCTCTTTAAGCTTTAGAACATGCATACTTGGAACACACATTAAATAACACCATTGTTTTTTCAATACTTTGTTATCATCAAAATCCAAAGAATATATGTCATGAGCAAATCTTGTTCTAACAATATCCCCCTTTATGATGATGACAAACATAAGTATTTAAAGAACAATGTTGGGCAATTATAATTTTCTTGGAAATATCACGGTATGAGGTTTGTAAGCTCCCCCTGAGTCTATTAGCTCAAGGTCGAGTTCTGTAAACTCCCCCTAAGTACTATATTCAAGAAAAAATATTTTAATTTTTTTAGCAACATCATGGAATCTGAATACTGTCTTGAGTGGATTATGATTCATTGACTTTTAAACCAATGATTCCATTTTCTTCACCAAACTCCATGCTTTTAGTTCTTGAG